CAAGGCCCGAGGCACCTGTCTACACAGCAGCATAAATCCCACTTCCCGAGGGCTCTGTGTCACAGTCACTGCATTGGGAGCCCACACGTTGAAAAGGCCTGTGAGTCCCTTCTTCACACAAGGTGCTACCAACACCATCTGGATCGCCCTTGGTTTGGTTATTTTTCTTACTTGTACTTGATGACATCTTTAACATCATGGTTTCATTCTTGCTTTGCTCAACTTTAAGTTTTCATAAACTCTGAAGTTGTATTTTTCATAGATATTTACAGAAGCCTACAACATTTATCAATTTAGATCCCCAAATAGGAGGTGTGTCATATATTCAAAGGAAAAATATGCAAAACGGGAAGTAAAATTTAGACTCACTATGGAGTGGAGGAAATGTAAAGAAGGGCTCCAAGGGTCATCCCCATGGATGCATCCCCATACCCATTCCCATGCATCAGTCCCGCTGGTGCCTCGGGCGCCTCGGCGTCCACAGCCCAGCGACAGCTGCTCCAGGGTCAGGTGGCCTTCACTGTCACAAGACAGTCGTCCACAAAGTCATGACATCATGTTGATAGAAAATGCACACTTTTCGTTGTCCTTTCTGGGTGTTCACTTCAGTTTTATTTATGCTAAACAAACTGAGACACCTTGACTCTGGAAATATTATTGTTGGATTTCAGTCTCTCAGAAGCAGTTTTCTGTTGCATTTCTGCTGAAAGTATCCTCCACTTTCTGAGGCTGAGCACAGTCACACCCCACATGGGAACTTTGGAGGCTCGATCAGGGGAGACTCAACCGGAAAGTGCTCACGACAGAAGGAATAGTTCCCTGTCTGCAAGAACATTTACGGACCCTTCACTGAAAGCAGCAGATCTAAAACAGTGAGAGCAAAGCACGTGCAGTGACCCTTCTGACAAAAAAAACAAACAACTTTGGCCATCAGTGATAACTTGGTTAAAAATGTCTGCAGTGTTCTATTTTTTTTTTTTTAAGTTATTTTACACTGGTCAGAATGGCCATTATTAAAAATCTACAAATAACAAATGCTGGGCAGAGTGTGGGAGAGAATGAAACCCTCAGTTGGTGGGGATGTAGACTGGTGCAGCCACTGTGGAGAACAGTATGGAATTTCCTTAACTGGGTGCACACCCAGAAAAGACAAAAACTCTAATTTGAAAAGATACACGCACTCAGTGTTCACAGCAGCACTACTGACAATAGCCAGGGCATGGAAGCAACCTAAGTGTCCATCGACAGATGAGTGGAATAAGATGTCGTATGTATATACAATGGAATACTACACAGCCATAAAGAAGAATACCATTTACAGCAAGAATATGATAATAGAGATTCTCATATTAAATGAATTAAGTCAAACAGAGAGAAATATCATATATCACTTATATGTAGAAACTGAAAAATTGATACAAATGAATTTATTTGCAAAACAGTAATAGACTCACAGACATAGAAAACAAAACTTATAGTTGCCAAAGGGGAAATGTAGTGGGGAGGGATAAATTAGGAGTCTGGGATTAACAGATACACACTACTATATATAAAAAAGGTAAACAACAAGGACCTACTATATAGCAGAGGAACCTATATTTAATATCTTGCAATAACCTATAATGGAAAAAAGTATGAAAAAGAGCACAGGGACTTCTCTAGCAGTCCAGTGGTTAAGATTCCATGCTCTCAATGCAAGGGGCCCAGGTTCAATCCCTGGTCAGGGAACTGGATACTACATGCAGCAACTAAGATCCAGTAGTCAAATAAATAAATACATATTTTAAAAAGGAAAAAGAACATATATGCATTTGTAATACTGAACCTCTGTGCTGTAGACCTGAAGCTAATGTAAAATTGTAAATCAACTATACTTTAATTTTAAAAACTAACATTTAAAAGCTACTTTAAAGAGAATTATTGGCCTGTTTTCTTTTTCATATCAGTATATAATTAGGGATAACAGCTCTCACATCTGTGATTAATCCAATATTGAGGGCTTGTGACTTCTCATCTGAATGGTGGCTGACATCTTTCCTTATGAATATCTATGGTTATGCCACAGAGCAGAAACAGAAGTCAGTGCTCAGGTAAAAAGCCTGACTGTCTGTCTGTCTGTCTATCTAAATGATCATCTATTGGGCTTCCCTGGTGGCTCAGTGATAAAGAATCTGCCTGCAATGCAGGAGCACGGGAGACATGGGTTCAGTCTCTGGGTTGGGAAGAGCCCCTGGAGGAGGGCATGGCAACACACTCCAGTAATCTTGCTGGAGAATCCCATGGACAGAGAGCATGGTGGGCTATGGTCCATGGGGTTGCAAAGAGTCAGAGATGACTGGAGCGACTTAGCAAGCACTCAGTCATCTATAATCTCTCTATTGGTCGACAGTCTATTTTCTCTCTCATCTGTGTGTCTATCGTGTCTGTCATCTGTTGTCTAGTACCTGTGTCTATCATCTATCATTGTCACCTATTATCTATCATCTATTTATCATCTGTATATCTAATCTATCATCTACCTATTATCCACATGCCCATCACCTATCTCTATCATCTGTCTATCGAATCTATCATAGTCATTCAACATACCATCTTTCCTATTTCTCAATCTTTCCATGAACCTGGCTTTTCAGCTTTTCGTGCTGCAGAGACCTTGGTTCCTTCACTGCTTTGTTTATAAGGAGGAGGCGGGTGTGAGAGAAGTTGTTAGGGAGAGAAGAGCTGAAGGCTGCACAGCTAGTACTGGAGTCAAGGTCTCTGGGCTCAATCACGCCACTTTTCATCAAGTCAGACAAAAAAACACTAGTACTTCTGTTTTTCTGAGACTTGGATTTTCAGTAAGCTACACGCAGATAATGAAGGCCCATCATCCTCTTTCCATATTAAAGATTATGCTTTGGAATGGGGAAGCAATGGTCAACTCTTAGCTGTTCACATCCAGAAATTTTTTTAAAAATGCCAGAAGAACAGTATCCTTTACTGTTCCAAGCATGTGCTTTTATCATCAAATAGCCTGCCTACGTGCTGCTGGTTACACAGAACAATCTCTCTCGCCTCTTTTATTATCTTGAGCTGCTTCTATTATTTTTTAAAGAGGTCAAATGTTATTTAGCAATTTATTCTCTAGGAGAAAGTTTCACTCTATTCTCTTCTTACTGAGTTTTAAAATTAATTTTGCAACATTTCCTGTTGCCTGCGGATTGAGAGCAGGAGTCAGCAACATGCACGCCATCTGCTTGGTGACAACGATGGACACTTCGAAACATCGACCGAAGGACAAAAATGTTTACCCAAGGGACCTGATCGTGTAGGTGGGAACAGGTGGCACCCCCTCCAGGCAGTTCCTGTGGCCTCAGACTCTAGCGCTGAGATGCCCTGACCACTGCTTCCTCTGTCCACTTGTGGTAGACAGGCCAAAGCTGAGCTCATTCTTGTGGCCAAAAACCCCTGAAGTGTGGTCCGTGGCCTCTGAGTGCACAGCTCTCTCACTTACCATCTAACCTGGCGGACAGATGCCAGAGGGAGGATGGGCTCGGATCCTGGGCTAGGGGGGTGAGGCAGGCCCATCCCCTGAGCTCTGGGCTGGGGGTCCATCCCTCTGTCCCAGGGCACTCTCCCTGTCTTCGCTTTACACTCTCGGCATCATCAGCATCACAGAGACAAGGAAACTCTCTCCTCTTCCAGTTCGGAGGCTGTTTTGGAGGTGAGTGAGGCCGAGCAGCTTGTGAGTGAGAATCAGCTCTGGGTCTGAGCCCATGCCCTGGTATGTTACAGCCTCCTTCCCACCATGGACGTCAAGGGAGGCCCTGATGGACCGGAGGTTCCTGGAGCAAACGGCCCCGCGGAGGTCACTGGTCCTCTCTTTTTTCCTAATAACCCGTCCCTGGCCCCGCGTGGCTGCAGTTAACACACACCTGCCTCCTTTCTCGTTCAATAGAATAAGCAGGGACTGCACAGGACTCCAGGCTTCTGGTGGGCAGGGCTCACAGACGGGGTGCCTCCCCCAACTACAGGGGCTCCAGGGAAGGAACAGAGAAGAACCAGCACGGCTGGTCTGAGCGTCCACCTCACACAGCAGCAACCCCCCCGAGCACCGCCCCCTGCCTGGGAGCAGGGCAAGACTTGGGAAACCGGGTGGAGGGCACCAGGCTCCAGACAGAATAAAGCTTACCTTCCTTCCCCTCTGCCAGGATTCTCCAGTTCTGCTTTCACGGTAATTTCTGAGAGCTCTCGGTCCCACTCTGTAGTTCAAGGGGACACACCCTAGACCTTGGGCCACAGGGGTTGTCCTAGAAAACAGAAATAGCGCGGACCTGCTCTCCATCACAGTGGGAGGTGCCCTGGGATCTTGGGGGTTCTGGGGGTCCCTACTCTACTGGGCGTGTGTGATGCCTGTGTTCTCGGCCGGGCCGAGCCAGAATGGCAAGCACAGAGCTGTGTCAGGCCGGTGTCAGGCGATTCTGTCTCTCCTAGCGCCCGCAGGGCTCAGCCAGGCTTCCCTTCCCTCCCCACTGCCCCTCCCTGGGGAGGCCTTGCCTTCCATCTCTGCACCGGGTCTCCCAGGGAATGGAAGAAGGAGAAGCCGTCGCTGGTTCCCCATCCTCAACGCTTCACACTTGTTCCTGTGTTCCTTAGTGCGACACAGAGCTGGTTCTACAGACAACAGCGTAAACCTTGGGCTAGCCGAGCAGGTCCTGGCAGACTGGCTGACTTCAAGTCCGCGGGCGGAGCTGCCTGACAGAAGGCACGGTCCCCCCACCTCTCGCCCCATGTGGTCCAGACCTCATTGATCTTGGTTCTCTCAGTGTGCTTTCTTTGCTCACGCAGGCGTTTCATTCCCGCCTCCACGGAAGCTGCTGGTCACGGCCCAGAGTCAGGGGTCCCCAGCAGGTTGCCTGGATGGGCTGGACCAGGCCCTCCACACAGGCATTTCTCTCATGGTCTTTAGGAACATCTAGAAAACACACACAGTTACGAGGAGGGTAGCAAAAGGCACTCACCAGCCACCAGCAGCCTCTGATCCATGATGTGGGGGCTTTTCCTTTCCAGGTTATGGTCGCTTGTGTACACTGCATATTTAACATGATCTGGTTCATACCACACTGCGAGGACCATCCTGTTTTTCATTTGAGGGGAGGACAAAGTGCCTTTTCCTACTAGTCTCCTGGGTTCCATGAACTGAACTGGCACAAGACAGACTGGTAGAAGAAAAACACATTCATTTAATGTAAGTTTTATTGATACTAGTATTTTTTGGCATACATGGGGCAGGGGCTTCACAGGAAAGAAGTAAAAACCCAAAGAAGTGGTTGGGCTCAGAGACTTCTATATTCTTTTAACAAAGGGCCATAAGTGGTGGGAAGTGGGGTGGGCTTCCAGGGGCAGGACATTGTGAGCAGGTAAACACAGGGGGAAACACAGACAGTATGAGCCACTGCAGTAAGTCTTGTTTGTGAGGATGCATCTCAGTGCCAACTTTGTCTTCTTCTCGGTCAGCCCACCTCCCAATCCAGAGCAGGAATCTATGGTGTCTCATGTTCAGAAGCTCTGCCTTGAGTCAGAGGAGGGAAGCTTTTGGAAAGCTGTCTTCTGCACCCGCTGACTCCTAACCGCCTTCAGCTCACGACGGTCCATGTGCCAAAGCAGCATGTCCCAGGGCCATGTCTACACTCCCTTCATATTCAAGATGTGGGCGGGTCCACATGGAGAACCCAGACTGAGACAAACGATGTGTGCTGTCAAGGGCAAGCACAACCTTTCTGGTCTCAGTTCACTTGATCCTGGAACCAAGGCAGAAGCTGTAATAATACAGTTGACCCTTGAATAACATGGGTGTGAACCATGGGGTCCACTTATACAGGGACTTTTTCAATAAAAAAGCACCAGGACCACATGATCTAAGGTTGGTTAAATCCAGGGAGTGGAACCAAGGATTCAGAGGCCTTACTATAGTAAGGTACTTATAGTAAGTAAGGTACTTACTATAGTAAGTACCTCTCACCTTATATGGTTGATAGCCATAGATTTCCATGGCTAGGGGTCCGTGTTCTTCCAGGGTCATTGGCAGGGCTCCAGCCTTCCTGGCTTCATGGGAATCACTCTATCTCCTCGGCCTCCTTAGGGGGTGACAGTCACCATCCTCATTTTCCTGAGGAGGCAGATGAGCCTTGAGAGTCTGGTCTTGGCTGAGGCCCCTGGGTGAGTGGCCGGGGGGTGTGGGAGTCAAGCCTGGTTCCAGCTCACATGTTCTGTACCATAGTGCTGATGGGACCCCCTCTGGCAACTTCTGATCCAACCCCAATGGTACTGTCTGTGTCCCAGGTGACACGTGGGTGCCTTTCAGGCAAAAAGGAAATCTGGGACAGAAGCCTGTCCCTTTGTCTAGTTTTCCATCCAAACCTGAACAATCAGACAGGAGTCGATCATGAAGGCAGAGAGTAAACTCAGGCAAAACCATGGGTTCAAAATGCACTATTTTTAAACAAAGGATAAACTCACAGGGTCCACAGGAAAGGTCAGATCTACAGAGCCAGACCAGTATCTGTTCAACTTCGCTGAATGAGAGATGATTTGGCTGAGGGACCAGGGAGAGACCTTTTATTTGATCTGATTTTATACAAACATCTCTGCGCTCGGAGCAAGAGGGACGGTTCCAGAGCCATATCACAACCATCACGTGTGTCTGCTCCAAATGTAGTGTTTTGGATGCTGACTTACATCCACAGCGATAAACAGGGCTTAGTCTGTATTGGATGCACACAGCTGTGGGCACATGCCTGCAGGTCTGCTTACATGGCAATTTTGACTGTTCAAACTGAAGTTTGCAAATAGAGAAGACGTGGATCAAGGCTCTGCAGTGGAGGGTTATTAGAACCTGCTGGGACAGTTGGTGGTTTTAAACAGGTGTCATCTTCAGAAGGAAGGCTGGTGCATCAGCAAGACAGCCAGGGGCTTGCGGACAGCCTCAGGGTGCACAGAGACCCCAAGACGGAGCCCGAGCAGCCTGGTCTGAGCTGCCATCCCTGCACACAAGTACCCTCAGCTGTGGTTCAGGGTCAGCATCATGAGCGTAGCCTTGGTTCTTCTCACCCACAAGCACTGGGCTCCCAGGCTCAGCCGGGAATGGAAAACTGGCCTCTGGAAAGCCTCAGGCCAGCACAGTTGGGTAAGACGATCAGCCTTTCAACAGCAGGACGCAGAAAACTGCACTCATCATAGGATGGTTTTTATTTATCTGGCATTTCAGGGGCCTATTCATGAGGAGACACTGGGTGTGCTTTCAGCAAAGACAGCTACGTAGGACACTGAAACAGATGCAAGCACTGACTGAGCAGTGTTCTCTTACAGGTTTGCCTACTTGCCAGTTACAAAAACTTTTTTGATGAGTTTAAAATGGGCCTTACTCCCAGAATCCCAGCCTTTTCTATTTGCAGCAGTTAATACTGGACCTGGATTCACAATGAGGGTTAATATTCACAACTTCATTATTTGGCAAAATGCTGTTAGGCTGATGTTGCATGTTCACAGGACAGGAGAGTTTGATGAGGTGGCTCCTTTCTAGATGAGGAGGTGCGTTCTTATTTTCTGATTAGAACATGGAAAATTCTGAACGTCTCTCATTCAGAGACCACTTCCTCCCTGAGATTTTAAGTCACTGGGATTTTACTGTCAAGGTCTGGCTACAGCCTGACACTGGATTTGTTCTCAAAACCATTTCTTATGTGGCCATTCGGTGCAGCCTGTTTAAGAAATTTAAACACTACTCACTGAGCGAGCCTCTGGAGGGAAATGTCTCATTTTAATGAGCCCCCCGGGAGGTGAGAGCCGCACGCTGCCTAACGAGGATTCTGTGTTATGCTTCGTGCTAAAAATAGCACACAGCACACTGGCTACCATCAATGTTAGTGCAGTCACGGTGATCACAGTGTGATCCTTTAAAAATGGCAAAGCTTCATTATGTGAAAGCAAAACTCACATTTTCCTTAAACACTCTCTTCTGTGCGCACAGGAGCGAGAACAACCCTGCTGACTGGGAGTCAGAGCTCCTCTGGCTGGCTCACGCCGTGGCTTCTTCGCTTCTTCCTCGTTACCTCTGGCAGTTCCATTTACTAAACACAGCCTGAGAGAGAAAGGGGCTAGTCTTCACTAGCCTGGAGAAAGTGAAAGTGAAAGTCGCTCAGTCGTGTCCAACTCTTTGTTACCCCATGGACTGTACAGTGCATGGAATTCTCCAGGCCAGAATACTGGAATGGAGAGCTTTTCCCTTCTCCAGGGGATCTTCCCCACCCAGGTCTCCTGCGTTGCAGGCGGATTCTCTACCAGCTGAGCCACAAGGGAAGCCGAAGAATACTGGGCTTGGGTAGCCTGTCCCTTCTCCAGTGGATCGTCCTGGCCCAGGAATTGAATCGGGGTCTCTTGCATTGCAGGCAGATTCTAGCCTGCAGGGAATCCCTAGCCTGGAGAAGCATGGCCAATTAAGTGGATAGTATGGGTGACGTGGAGTGTCTCACCTGCATAAAAGCAGAGACTTTGCAAGGTGTGCGCTGTGAAGCATTGTCATTCCATCCGTGGGGACCAACATGCCAAGCCCCCATGGGCCATGGTGAGTGATAAGCAAACCCATCTGTAAACCCATCAGATTGCACTCGAAGAGTGAAGGAACAGGACACACCAGGCTACAGCCCAAGGTCTGAGGCGGTCTTGGGGCTGTCACTTACTCAAGCAGAGCAGATTTTTTCCTGTGGCAGTGCTTCCACGTGTGAGTGACCCTTCATACTGCTGAAACAGAGCAGGACTCTACGGTGTTCACCTGCCCACCCCTCCATGATCTCACCCCGCCTTTGTCTGTGCACAAACTTTAGCCAAAGAATAAATTTAATCAGAGAAGTGACAAGATGCAGAAAGAAAGGAAAACAGTCAGGGAGACCGAATAATTAAGCACAGTAAAGGACCTTTAGTTCCTACTCAAGGGCAATAGATAGTCCGAGCCACATTCTGTGAGCAAACCCACACCAGGCAGAAGGAGTTAACTACACAACGACCGGACTGTAATCACAATATGAGCTGCCACAGTTCTGAGAATCTGCCTCAAAGAAATGGAAACAAACTGATCCTGGAACTGAAGACTAACTGTCCCGAGAACAATCACGGTGACACTCATCAGACCACTGATGACCAACTTCAAGTTGACTGTCAGAGCAGACTGTGCTGTTTCTGCATGGAGCCCCCTCCCTCTGTCTTTAAAAGCTCTTGCCTATTGACTGTCAGTGGTGGGTAGAGGGTGTCAGCCTTTGGACAGGCAGGTTGCCAGCATTCAAAATAGAGTGAACTTTCCATTCCACCAACCTGGCCTCTTACTGGCCTTTGAGTGGCGGGCAGCCCCTTCGGGTGACACCACTAACAATTTTGCAGCATAAGAAGAGATACAGAGCCTTCCTGACTTGTGAATTATCCTGTAAATCAGAGGATTCCTTGTCACAGTTCTTTGTTGTCACGTCTCACAGAAGTTTCACTGATGACCAGAAGCAGCAGAAGTGCTGCTGGCACTTGCGAGTGTATCAGGGCTGGCTGTGGCACCCTTTGCAATGTTTCCGAGAAGGCTTCTTGGCTTTCTTGCAGGCGCAACTGTTTGTGAGCATCTGGGAACAGGCTGCAGAAAGGAAGGGAGAAAGAAAGCACACGCTAGAAAGGACCACTTTGTGCAAAAGTGAACACTTGGTGAGAGGCCAGAATTAGTCAGAGGGCTTACTCTCCTGTGACTGGCATCTCCTACTTGACTGCTCAAGACTTTCGTAAAAGGGTTGAGAGCCTGTATCCTTCCATTGTTTTAATATTGTAACGGAAGAATGCCATTTGCACAACTTCTCTTAACATTAACATCTTAAGTATTAGACAATGGGATGAAAGGGAATGAAAGACTTCTGAATTATTAATGGATGCTCTTAGCTTAATGTGTATATGATATCTGAATAATAGTTACGAGGATAATATTTGCCTGTAATACATTCCCACTTAAAAGAATTATTGTTAAAACAGGATTAAGATACAACTCAAATGATATTATTGCAAAAAACTGTTATAAAATAAAAATTCCTTAAGCCTC